CGGATCTGGAAGCTGATTTGCTGCCTCTGAGAAGTAGGGAGGGGAAGGGGGTGGGAAACCACCCAGGGAAAGGGGGAGGGCTCCAGCTAATTTAACAGTTGAAGAGAACAACTTAATTAGAGTCATCTGGAAAATTGGGTAAAACCCCCTTCATCAGCCTCCCAACCCCAGACCCCTTCCCTGCCAGTGCTCATGGACTTCTCTGGCAGCTCAGAGCACAGCACGTGCTTTGGGGTGGGGAGGGAGTGCTGAGGCCCAGCCCAACCAAACAGATGGCCTTCATTACATGCAGGATCTAATTGGATTGATCAGCAGTTAATAGGAAATTAAGAGGTGAATCCCTCTTCCCAGCTCCACCGTGCTGCGTCGTGGCTGCCTAGGTGCTCCTTGCAGCCTCTCCATCTGGGCACAGCCCAGTCCCCTGCTGCCCTCCCCCTTCCCCAGGGAAGTGCGACTGGACGGCAACTGAGATGTGAGGGGCAGTCAGATGTGGGGTGAGGCATTTGCACCTGGTGGGCAATGGGTTGAGAGTGCCACAGCCTTCCTGCATGGGGGGAGTGCTGGGTGGCCAGGTCTGCTTCTGTGCAGGCGTGAGAGCTGCTTCCTGCCTGCCCTCCTGGTGTGGGCACGGGGGTGTGTGCTCAGGGGAACACAGACCCTAGAGGCACTGAGGTGTGCACCCACCGGGTGTACAGCTGCTGAGCAGCAGTTTAGGGTTTGGTCTGACTGTGACCCAGCTGTTTGCAGAGAGAGGCTGTGCCTCTGCCAGCATGGGGATGCTCAGCAGCTACGTCCTCTGCAGCTGGTTTATGCAAAGGGGTCTGCCACGCGCCCCCACCCCATAGGGGGAATATATAGGGAATGTCAGAGTGGAGGAGCCACTCTGACCTGCCAGATTAATCACCTCAGTTTCTCTCTGCATCTCGTGAAAGGTCAGGAGTCTTTGCAAGGCCCAGAAATTCATTGAAATACCACCAGTCTTGTGCTAGATCCATATACACCTTCCCAGGAGAGCAGCACTGGCATGGAGGGGATGGGGGCACCTGCCTCCTGTGCATCGCTTCTGGGGTGCACGTGAGGACAGGGAGCCCCAGGGAGTGTGGCAGGAGGTGGAGGCGTCCACGTGCTGCACACCATGGCCTGCCCACCTCTTGTCCCCACAGGTAAGGCCCCCTTACACCCTGCCTGACCCCAGGGTGCTCCTGCCTGTGTGGCTCTGCCTGAATCATCTCCTCTGGCTTGGCAGATGCAGCGCTCAGAGAGTGTTCTCCATCTCGAGGCAGGGAAATAAATGCATTAAACTAAACTAAACCCTCTCCCCTCCCCACCTGCCCCCCCAGCCATAAATCAGCATAAATGCAATTTACATATTCATGGTATTTATCCAATAACTGTCCTGTCCCAGATTAAACGTGCCCTGGGGATCACCAGGGCTCCTTATCTGTGCCAGGGTGCTCCCGGGAAGGAGCAGCTCTGCTTGGGGATTCAAGCAGTGGGGGGCTGTTCTCGTCATCTTCCTCCATCTCTTCCGGCTCCAGGCAGGTCCTGGGAGAGGAGCTTGGAGGCAGAAATCAAGAGCTCAGCAGCAGTTCTGTCCCCCGCCCTGCCCGCCTGTCCAGAGCTCCCTTCCATCCTGCATGAGTGCCCTGCCATCGCTGTCTCCCACCTGGTCCCCTGCCTGCCTCCTCAGGGCTGTCTGCGCTCTCTCCTCGTCCCCTTTCCCTCCTTCCCCAGTCTCCCCTCTCTCCTCGTCCCCTTTCCCTCCTTCCCCAGTCTCCCGTTGGCCCCAATGGTGCTGCTGGGGGAGCCCCAGGGTCCCCACACAGCTCCCTGTGCCTTGAGTCTCACCCCATCCCTAAGCAGCAGGGTGAGCAAGGAGAGGGGGCCCGTCCTGCACCAGCACCTTGGAGGGGGGGGGGGGGGGGCCCATTTACCTTCCCACTTGGCTTGGGGGGGAGGGCGGAAG